TGTCACTGGACGCCAATGTACCCCGGCTTGAATTGGCACCACGTCATGTCTTCATCTGCTGCTTCAGATAGCAATTCAGTTCGAAGTAGCTGCCTCAACGTTAGCCACGCCGAATCCTCACTACTGAGTAGCTAGCCACGTATAGCTAGGCACTTCCAATCTTGTAGCACCATCTTCTTTATCACATTTGCATGTGGGTAGTTCTTCACGAACTGGCTCCGATAATTTTACCATTTTCAATCATCCTAGTCCATCCCACTTCTGATGTCGGAGGATGGTATGGGCGATGTCAAGCGAGAGCCCTCTTCGTCATATATATCGGTAGAGGTATGTTTATGCAGTAATAAAACAATTAAATCTTCGTAAATAAAGTAACGTTTACTTTCGACAGTGCACCTTTACTTGTTCGCATTTTAATTAAGTCGGCATTTCCTACGGACTACTCTGAGAAGAAACGCCGAAACAAACTCAGAGGTCTCAGTCCCTTTCAAAGTTCACAAATGGTCAAAATACATCAAAGTTTAGTCCACTTACATTGTAATAATATTCACCGTTATAATCTCAAACAATATAATGTCAATGACAATTTCACAGCACTGATTCTGATGATTGCAATCATTATTCGGCCGACAGCATTCCCAGTGCGTCGTTGTTCGTTCGGAGTCCCAGCCAAGAGTGCCTGCTGTTCCGCGATGTTGAAAGTCACTCAATCTCCCCCACTCTTAGGCGGACATGACGTCACAATTAACTCTTGAAGCGCGCCATCTTTATTCATTTTGTTGTTATTCCTTCGTTTTGTAGTAAATCTAAATCTCGTACTAATGACCGTTCCGACATATACTCGTCGGTTAAGGGTAGATATTTTTAATTTGGCCCTTCTTTAATACAATAAAATTACTTTTAATTTGGCCCTTCTTTTATCGAACTATAATACATGTTTAACCTACCCAAAGCACATGAAGTAAAGAATATTTCTATTTGCACTTGTAACACAGTAAACAAATGTTTCATCTCGAACATTCCACTCAATAGTACAACGCCCCAGCCTCAATAAGCCACTTTTAAAACTATTTCTTTCCAAGTTCTTATAAGAAAAGCTCTCATCGAACTTGTTAAGAACCTAAAGGAATTTTTCATTGTGCCTCACAGAGCATAGGCACTCTTAATGTAGGCAAACTTTACTTTCCATTTAAGTTATTATCAAATATCTTTTACAGATTGTTGAATCCTGTTATGTCTTCGTTATTTTTCAGAGATATTGATCCAGAATAAAATATAAAAACATAACATAACATCACGCCTCTTAGCCCGGAAGAGGTAGGCAGAGGTGCACATTATACCACTGTATAATGTAACACCCAGTTTTCACTATTTATGTTATGAGTGCCATATAATAGGGGGTGAGCCTATTGTCATATACCGGGCACAATTCCAGACCCCGTGCTACTACTGAGAATTTTTAAAAACCCCATATTATTTTACCCAACCCGGGAATCGAACCCGAGACCCCTTGCCCGGCAGTCGCACTTGTGACCTCTCGGCCAACGAGGCAGTCAAATACAAAATGTAAAATAATAAAAAGATTTTAACAAACGGTCTTTAATAAATTATTGTTTTGATCTTTTTGTCCACTAGTAGATGAGATATAAAACATTTGTGCTGTGTACTACGAAACTCATCTTCAAATTATTTTTCTACTTATGTGATATATGTTTGTAGACGCATCCACGACACACGAGAAAAACCTAATGGGGCAATGTTTTTTTAAGAAAATTGTTCGTGTAATTTTTAGATCAACTTATCACTAGTGTCACACCAGGGGTAATGTATCATCATAAATCATTATTAACAAGTTTCATACATTTAAGGCTCCTGCTCCTGCTAATACAGTAACAGGTTAGCAATCGTTCCGTAACAGTCTTCAAATGAGTAAATAGAACATCATAATTTTAATCATATTTTTCAAGTCATGGCTCAGATTTTTCTAGGTAAAATCGATGGCATCATCAGTTCGATTGCATATGCTTACATAAAATAATAGCATTCCTCCCCGTCCTCATCTTAGACTACAAAACCACAAATCCAACATCAATCACGGACAACCACAAATAAAAAAACAACTCAATTGTATTCACAGTAAGTATATATTGCAAGGAATTAATTTTAGGTAGATCACATATCTAGGCGTAAACATTGGGCATTAGCATATAAGGTTCAGACTCAGTAGTATCCGTAGCCGTAACTATACGGGGAAGCTCCGTAAGTGCCGTAGGACCCGTAGCTCAAAGGGTTGGAGTACCCGGAATAACCGGAATAGCCGTAGTAGCCCGGATAACCGGACGCGTAGCTGCCATAACCGGAGTAGAACTGAGGCCTCGCAAGAGCCACAGCCAGAACGGCGAACAAGATCAACTGAAAATATAATTAAAAAATAATTATTTTGATGTTCTTATAGCAAATAAGAGAGAACATAAAATAATGTTAACAAAACATGTCATGTAGCTACTTTTTTCCGTTGGAAATTTTTAACAATGGAATGTAGAAATAGAAAATGGCAAAAATATAAGATAGGCAACGTTACTATGGATTTTCTTGTAGTTTCTACTTTACGTAATTATTTGCATAAATCTACTTGTGTGGTTATTCTGTTTGTCTCGATAAAACTGATTCTTAATTAATGCGAAACTTTTGTCAACCCACTATAAATTAACTTCGTGTCTACCTTTCCTGTTTGTCTTGCTAATGCAAGGCTCTAATGATATCTAAAATGTTCCTACCGTAGTACTAAACGTTACATTTATAGTATAATTAAATCTATTTATTTACAGAAAGACACCACAACACCCATTATAGTCACATTTACTAATACAATAATTACTTAAATAGTGATAATAGTGACCTTAGTAGGGAACTAGGGAAGTCAACGTCCCTATATATCATGGGCCTGATGCTTATAATAGCTGTTCAGATAGTTTGCCAGTATACAAAGTGTCTAATCTACAAAGTTGGTTGAATTTGGAGACCCTTGTTTAGTTGCACTAATACGGTAGTTTTAGAACTGAATATTGAATAATTATTTTATATACTACGTTTAAAGAACTACTTCAATCCCCTCTTTTTTGACGTCGGTTAATCTATACTAATCTATACTAATATTATAAAGAGGAAAGATTTGTTTGTTTGTTTGTTTGTTTGTAATGAATAGGCTCCGAAACTACTGGACCGATTTCAAAAATTCTTTCACCTCTGGAAAGTTACATTATCCCCGAGTAACATAGGCTACATTTCACTTTGAAAAAAAAAAAATTCTACCCCGTGCGAAGCCGGGACGGACTGCTAGTTAATAATATACTTAAATCTTCTTCTCAGTGTAATAAAAACTTTTCTGAAATCCTTACCTAATCGTGCACAAACATACATACAGGTTAAAGTGAGAACCTCCTTTATTCTTTTTAAGACGTAGACGTAAGCAAACACTTGTAAGATCTTTAATTGTTTTAGGAAAATTGTGGTTATTTGTTTTTAATATTACATAACATCACGCCTTTAATCCCTGAAACCCCTTCAGAGATTAAAGGCGTGATGGCACATTATGCCACTATACAATGTAACACCCACTTTTCACTATTTATGTTATGAGTCCCATGTACTCGTAATAGGGGGTGAGCCTATTGCCATATACCGGACACAATTCCCGACTCCGTGCTACTACTGAGATTTTTTTTAAAACCCAGTAATACTTTACCCGACCCGGGAATCGAACCCGAGCCCCTTGCCCGACAGTCGCACATGCGACCACTCGGCCAACGAGGCAGAGATTTATTTTTGAATAGTTCAAAAACAGTTATTATTGGTTTTAATTGTTGTCATGATCAGCAATAGGTTTTGTATTGGCTCAGAGACAACATAATAAGTTAGATTTTAAGGTTAGTTAATACAAGTTTTCGTTAACAGAGGGCACTCTATGCGAATATAATTGTAACAAACCTGTTCATTAATTATTTTGTTTAATTTTTTATGCAAATAGTATCAACCTACATAGGTATTACATGGCTTTGCAAAAAAAACTATTTCTTCCTGTCTTAATTCTCAGTTACGCTGTCAAGTATAAGTTTGATCACTTTTTTA